TCCATGGGACAGAAGAAGGAGACACCAAGTGTGTAGCTGGTTCCCAAGTGTGTAGCTGTTCCCCCAAACATGTCCCTCCTCAACCCTGCCCTCCCAAAGACGCTGCTTGCAAGACATCACCTATGCAAATCAGTGGGTCTTTTTCAGCTGCCCACCTCCCACTTCCCTGTTGGTTTAGTGTATAAAATGGGTCCGGGTGTTTGTTTAAATCAGGTTTTCAGACTTAAACAAATAGTGACAGGCTGTTCAAACAAGCTTCGGAAATAAGTCTAATCAGGATGTTTGAGAAAGCACCAAAGAGGAAAGGAAAGGACCCATAAAACAGTTACTTAGAATATATGGCGCAGTCGCCATAAGGTAGACGTTGATGTTATTGTTGTCATAGTCTCAGTAAGAACAGGGATTTCCCGCTGTGCATTTTCTGCTTATGTTTCTTTACCCATCACCATAACTCAGAGCTTTAACATTGTCTCAATGTCACTGCAGCCCACCCTCGCTCGGTCTGCCCTCTTTCATGCTTAGCACAGACAACCCACTACCTATGAGATTAAAAAGGGGGGTGGGGAGGCGAAGCTGACAAATCAGAAAACAAGTCAATCTAATTTTGCAATGACTTCATCTTCTTGTTGACTTCCGTAGCTTTAGAAATCCATAGATGAGCACCAATACTTGCATTTTCTCTGTCTTTATTTTTTTTAAAAATAACCTTATTGGAATTGCATCTCAGTTGCCATTTGGCTCTTTTTAATCCAACTTGTCTACTCCATTCCCAAAGCAAAGCATTGGCTAAAATGATCAAGAGGAAAACTCTGCAGCAACGGCATCAGAGTTCTGCAAGGTTTGCTTGCAGTCCACATTATAGCGCTGATATATAGTATTCAGAAGTGTCGGGGTTTTGGGGTGTGGGTGTGTGACTCAATTAGTTAAATAGTGCAGGAAAGTACATGACTCACAGTCCAGCATTAGTGCAGCCAAATATTAAGACTATCATTACAAAATAAAATAAAATTGTGGTGGTTTCTTTAGTTGAGTCATCCTGAATAGGACTTTCTTTGGGGCAGTTTTACCCATGCCCTGTTTGTCACTAGATTGCTCAACACTTCGCTGATTGTGTATTTATTTCTCCGACTTGAATAGGGCTTTTCACAAAACAGCTCCAATGTGTTAAAAATCATAGAACAATTTAATTGGCGTAAAAACAACAACAACCATAAACGCAAATCAATAAACTGAAAGAACGAACAAGCAAGCAAAGGCATGTTGGACGAGGAGCCCTTCACCCTGCTTGTTCCATAAAGTCTGTGGAAGAAATGGTCCATAGCTGTGTTCCTTGTAGAGGCCAGGCTCGCCTCTAAAAAGTAGAACCATAGGTCTCTTTGAATTGGAAATAACCCAGGACTATGGGTGTTTATGCGTTTAGGGTTTTGTGGGTTAAAGGCAACATCTTGACTTGAACCAGGAAGCCTCCCGGTAACCAGTGATGACTTGCTCATCAATACGAGGAAAGATTCCATTGGACAGCCGGTGTCTGAGGTGATGTGGAAGCCTGATCATATGCAGGTCACCTCAACACCATAGCTGTCAAGTACTAAACACACATGTGTGAATGAGCTCCTTACCTCCAATAACAGCTAGAATATATGAGGCGAAGTCCTTGCACAACTTTATGAGGAGATGCGAAGCACCTGCACACATCTAACCAAGCAAGTCCCTTTGTGGCCCAGACTTCAGCCATCTTGTAGCCATTGCTCATCAACACTGTAGATGGTTCTCCCATGCCCAGTTGTCCCTCATCTCCCCTCCTGGCCAACATTTCAGGAGAAAGCTAGGGACTAGTGGAGTATACAAGGCCCTGTACATTTAAAAGGCTATTTCCTTGTAACTCTAGAAGCACATGTTGAACCATTTCCCCCCTGACATCAGGTGAGGAGACCACGGAGATGACAAGAGTCTGGTTGTTGGCTTTTGAACCATGACCTGTGCACTGCCTTGTTGATACTGTCTGTACATGCGCAGGCAAAGACAACTCAGCAACTCTCTGGGTTGCAACCTGGCAGCAGATAAAATGAAAGGCTATTTTGGAAATGTGTTGTTTGCTCTTTCCTCTATTTTAGACATTTTCTTCTTTTGATTGTTTTATTAATGATACATCTTAACTAACTGGAACATAATGTAACTAAACTAATTCCAATACAAAAGATTAACCTTTTATGCCAGTTCATTTTTCTTTGTAATCCAAAACAACAAACAAACCTTAAATGATTGGGCTTAAGTTTGCAGATGTTCGATCTGTTGGAATCACAGCTAAGAAACTGCACTTAGAGAGGCCGCAATCCAGAAAAGAAAAAAAAGGCAGTCTTGAAGCTGTTTCTTTCAGTGAGGATATCTAACCCTGACTTCTGCAGACTCGTGTGTAGGACTGTGGCCAGTACAGTGGTACCTCAGGTTACAGACGCTTCAGGTTACAGACTCCACTAACCCAGAAATAGTACCTCAGGTTAAGAACTTTGCTTCAGGATGAGAACAGAAATTGCGCAGTGGCAGTGTGGCGGCGGCGAGAGGTCCCATTAGCTAAAGTGGTACCTCAGGTTAAGAACAGTTTCAGGTTAAGAACGGACCTCCAGAATGAATTAAGTTCTTAACCTGAGGTACCACTGTAACTTTTATATTTTGTATTAAAGGCAGTTCGTGCTTGCTTCTGTTAAAAGGATAATAATAGAAACAACAGGATATAAGCCAGTCTGTTTTTGTTTGTTTGTTTGTTTGTTTGTTTGTTTGTTTGTTTGTCTGTCTGTCTGTCTGACTTTTTGTAAAAAATAGTGGAAGATAACACTATTTCCCTGTTTGTCTCATTAAAAGTCTAGCTGCACAGGGTTTGAGTTGCATAATGTAAGAAGCCTGATGCGCCATCTTGTGTCAGATGTTAGATGCGTCAATAATTGCTGTATCCAGAATCGGATGTCTGGCTTCAACCACTGTTTATAACAGGCACAGGCAAACTCGGCCCTCCAGATGTTTTTGAGACTACAGTTCCCACCATCACTGACCGCTGGTCCAGTTAGCTAGGGATGATGGGAGTTGTAGTCCCAAAACATCTGGATGGCCGAGTTTGCCTGTGCCTGGTTTATAACTTTGTACCTGTGATACCACCAAGCTCTGCACCTCCTAATCCTTAACCTGTCAGGTTCTGCTGGTGGGAGTAGCTTGGCAGGGGAAGCTGAATTTCTAGCACCCATCATTTTTGGGAGGCACTGTAGTGATAGACCAACATATCCAGAGTTCTAGACAGGGAAGAGGGAAAAGGTTCTACCAAAATGCTTCATTTGCAACTTATACTGTTCGTTTATTTTTTGAATTTCACAACAACAAAAATACAAAACAAAATCACAAAGTATAAAACGAAACCTCCCTCCCACAAACACATTTAAAAGGGCATAGATGGTTTAATCAGCCCAAGTCCTGATTCTAGAGAAACGTTTTCACCTGGTACCTAAAGATAAGTAATGAAGGTGCCACAGAAAAAGCCCGTTTTTGTGTTGCTGCCCTCCAGACATCTTGTGGAGGAGGCACACAAAGAAGGGCTTCAGAGGATGATTGGAGGGCCCAGGTCACTTCATATGGGGAGAAGATGTCCTTGAGGTATTGTGGTCCTGAGCCATCTAAGGCTTTATAGGCCAGCACTTGCTCCTGCCAACCTAGCAGTTCGAAAGCACGTCAAAGTGCAAGTAGATAAATAGGTACCACTCCAACGGGAAGGTAAACGGCGTTTCCGTGCACTGCTCTGGTTCACCAGAAGTGGCTCAGTCATGCTGGCCACATGACCTGGAAGCTGTACGGCGGCTCCCTCGGCCAATAAAGCGAAATGAGCGCCGCAACCCCAGAGTCGGCCACGACTGGACCTAATGGTCAAGGGTCCGTTTACCTTTACCTTATCAGCACTTTGCATTGGGCCCTGAAACTAATCGGCAGCCTGTGCAGTCAGGCCAGGATCAGTGTAATACTTTGCAGTAATGTAACCTAGAGGTTACCAGAACATAGACAACAGAAGTTAGGCTATCCCTGTGCAGGTAGGGGAATGTCTGGGCTGAAGGCACCCTGCATCACCGAGGCCTCCTGAGCCTCAAGGCACAGCGATGGGTCCAGGAGTAGCCACAAGCTGCCTACCGACTCCTTCAGAGGAAGTGTAACCCCGCCAAGAGCAGGCAACATCCCAGCCACCTGGTCTAAGGAACCACTCACTAAAAGTACCTCAGTCGTAGCTGGATTGAACTTCAGTTTGTTGGTTCACATCCAGTCCAATTCCCGAGGCAAGGCAACTGTCCACCTCATGACAGGTTTGGTTTTATAGTTCAGCTGATGTCGAAGAATCCCTTGGTTTGTTGTGAATGCTTGCACCATTTTCTGTTCTAGAATTCTGGCCTTCTGATCTTTGGGCCAGGTGGGGATTAAGAGAATGCTTCTCCTTCTGTAGAGCTGATGTTATTTCCAATTGCTTTTTAAGTTATTGCTTTAATTGAAGTTTCATGCAGTATGTTGTTTTAATTTGAGAGAGAGAGAGAGAGAGAGAGAGAGAGAGAGAGAGAGAGAGAGAGATAAAAACTTCAGACCAAATAATCACACATCTTTGTTTCATATATTGACTAACCACCCAAACCTCCAAAGAATTTTTATTCTAACCCATTTCTACTGCATTGTATCTCAAGCTCTGATTTATTACTAAAAATCACTCTAATGCAATCATTTTGTCATTTTGATTCCGCTGCTCATATCCTCAATCCTGCCCACGATTTCACTTTTCCAGATAGTCCACAGAAGGCGTCCAACTCTTCTGTTAAAAAGTTCGTCATTTTTGTCTCTTGATTTTGCCATTTCTGCATAGCCCATTACTTAATTTGCTCTGTTGTGCCTGCAGGTACCACACTCTGGGATTACAGGGTGAAAAGGCATGTTATGACTATTAATAATAAACAAATAATCCTGCCCTCTCTCTTTTACTTTAGGATGCTTTTGTGGAGCTCTACAGCAACAACATGAGGCCTTTGTTCGATTTCTCGTGGCTGCCTCTGAAGACAATTCTGAGTCTGGCTGTTGTGGGTGCCTGCATCACCCTTGGAGCTTATCTGGGGCATAAGTGACTTCAACCAACTTGTGGCGAACTGATGAAAAAGTCTTTTTTTTAATTGAAAAGAGAGGATCAGAAAGCATGAGAGCTTTTTTTGTTTTGTTTTTCCTGTAGCATAATGCTATTATTTTATGAGCCAAGTATCTTTCTGTCTAAATATTAAATCAGCTATTACTGCCAAAGGGAATATTCATTTATTTTTTACAGTGCAGGAGAAGAGTTATTTATTGAAGATATTTTACATTTAACCTGCTATTTTCCTGAAATTCTGCAAGTTATACCCACGTGCATCTTTATAACGGAAGTTTAAGGACACTCCAAAGATCTTCAGCTTTCTTGCAAAATGCCGCTCGACAAGACTATTTTTATCACATTGGACTATAGGGCACAAGAGACCGAGGTGTTTTATCTGCAGGAAAGACAGTAAATGGGCTACTTGCAGAGGTGTAAATTTGCAGTTTATTGCTCTGCCCACTGAAGGAGGAAGTAAATCGCAGCATGGATGAGATGGGAGCAATTTCAAGCCAGTAACGCCTTTGGGATATAGCAATTCGACATGGTACCTATTCAGAGCGAGAAACGACGCGACGTTCAGGCCAGTAATAAAGCCCATGTAGCTCGTCAGCTCAGGCCCAAAGCTGACGTCTGGGAATACGATTTCATCCCAACTTGTGAAACATCCCGATATGTACTGTTTTGTGCCACTCGACACCACCATAGGTCATCGTTGGGAGGATACCATTTGTGCATCCTCAAAGCAACGATTTGAAATGAAATAACTTCAGAACTGCAGAACAAATATTCTGTTTATAGAGTATATTCTTCAATCCTCACTTTACCACATGGCCATCAGGAAACCGTAAGTGCCTGCCACCTGCCTTGCAGGACCCGGAGCCTGGATGTTCTGGCTCGCATCCCCACTGGAGCGAGAGTTTACCCACAGCTGATCCTACTTTTACTCTCTGATTTCTTCTTTGCCGGGGAGGGTGGGGTGGTGGTCTTAAAAGCAATCCACGTTGGTTGCTGAATAATACATCTCGAAGCCAAGAGAGGCCCAAGAATTGAAATCAGGTGACAAGAGATTAGCTCGGATCCGCCATCTTTATTAAAATGGACCACCCCACCCCACCCCAAATTAAGTGCTTTGCATTTTATTTTTCTCTTAAGTGGAGCTTTATTCCCCTCAATAGTATTGCGTCCTGGTTATTTCTTTAAGACCGTCTTCAAAAGGATAAAGAATGCATCCATTGCCTCCATCTGCAGAGGCTCACAGACATCATCCCGTTCCCTAAGGTGCCTATTGTCTTTTGTATGGAAACCTGGGGAGGAAGAGGGGAGGGAGGGGGGAATCCTTTTCAGTAAGATGAAAGCAGAGTACTTAATAAGACCACTTTTCTGAGAGTACCTTATTTTGTTTTAAAAAATCCTAAACACGTAGCATGAGATAGATCACTAGGAGCACGGCTGTCATCGTGGTTGAGCATCTCTGAGAGCCTGCCATGACCCACTGCTGACCACCAGAGCCCCCAGGCCCTATACCTGGCTATTGCTGCGAGCTCACCTGTCCTCCCAGGTGTGCAAACAGCAGAAAAAGAAGCACCATTCGCTTCCCTTGGCCTTCTCCTTCTGGGCAGGTGTGTGGATTGTATCCAGAGGAAAAGGGCAATTGAATGGGCAGTGGTAGCAGCAAGGAGGTGGGCTTCCCCAAATATGTGGGGTCCCTTGAGAGCTTCTTGGTGTACTGCAGCTTTGTAAATAACAGAAGTTACTAGCCTGCAAAAAAGAAGAAGCATTAGCTTACTAAGGGCCTAGTAGCCCATTCTTCCATGCTGGCTGCAGAGGGAGGGTCATATGCTACTAGCCAGTCAGCAAGCTAGTAAAATGAATAGCCTTCTCCCAAGCAGACCATCGATGGAGTGAGCTGTCCTTGTTCTGCCAGGCCACTGACTTGCTTGTAAGGAATTCCTGGTCACCTACACTGACCAGGCGAGCTGTTATGAGGCTGGTGTTGCGGAATATTCATTGCTGAAGGTATTTAAGAGCAAGTTACAGCTGAATGGGGTTGGGTTGCCTGAGGTGGACTCAACCCCTAAAGTCAAAGAAATGGCAGGGTGGTCTCTTCCTCAGTGCTTCCAAGAGGGTGCTTACAGTGGGTTCAGTGCTTCTCAAACATGCAAACATGTCTGTATTCACCCCCACCTACATATATATATATATAGAGAGAGAGAGAGAGAGAGAGAGAGAGAGAGATTTACCCCTTCTGAGGAAAGTCCAATAAGAGGGGGAGAAACCTGTTAGTAATGACATGTTTGTGATATCTCAATAACCTTCTAGCAAATTAAGCTCCCGCCAAGAAGCACCTCTGGTCATGTATTCAAATATATCTACCACTTTAACAAAGGCAACTCTAGATTAGATGCTTTGCCGTAATGGCCAGTTGTTGATCTCAGTGTAATACATTAAGGGGGGGAAAGGCCAAGGGGTCAAAAGAAACTCATACACACAACAAATGCTTCCCTGCATGCTCAGAACAGTTTTTGTCTCTAGCACCTGCCCTTATTACAGCGTAGGGCTGGATCTACATTGATCTGTTAAACGTTACTAAATATAACGTTATGTAATGTTCAGTGCTGTTTTCCATTGCCAGTGGTTCACTGCTCTGCAGCACCCTCTGGTGCCACATTTTAATAACACATTTTTAACATTATAAACCATGAGTGTAGATCTGCTCTGGGATTCTGCACAGGGCGGGGGGGGGTGATGCCCCACCAGCCCTCATGAGCAGTTTTGTGATGTTGCAGTGGGGAGCCAGAAAAGTCTCAGCATATACAAAAAGCCAACTCTCCATTAGTTCTTTGGATCCAGCCAATGAGTTTCGGACCATATTAATGCAAGGGCTTTTTATTTTTATTTTATTTAAACAATACATGCCCCAAAGGAACAAAATCTAAATTAGATGTGGTGGACATGTTTGACTTCTGTAAATTTCCATCTTTAAAAACCCTCACCTTTTTATTTTATTTTTCTGTTTATAAAACTGTACAGAAATGGATTTTATACATTAATATGCATCCAGTAATAAATATCTGGATTGAAGTACAGTTGCTTTAACACTTAAGATGGCATAGCTAGATAAATAAATAAATAAATAAAGCGAAAGAAAGAAAGAAAGATGAAGAAGGCTTATCAGATCTGAGTGAAATATCTTAATTTTGTGGCATTATATGCAAAAAAAATATCAGTCTAGGGAATGTAATATTTTCATTGCTTAAGGCTGTAGTTTATATCATGTCTTCAAAGCTGCTTTTTAAAAGATGGGCAGAATCCACCAAGGAGCTACTCTTTTTCAGCTCCCAGTCATTAAAATGGAGCATGTGCAAGACAAGTTCCTTGGGGAGTGCGCCCAGTGTGTTAATGCATCTCAGCATCACTGTAGCTACTCTACAGTTATGGCACTTGTACCCGTCATTTCAGGAGCGACAGTGAACTAAGCTTTTACGCTTCACGGCAGAAATAAATGTATAAAGGCATTTGTTCAAACTTATGTACCCTCGATACCATGGGTGTAACTTCACCAAGCTGAAATGCTTAGCTTTGCAAAAGCTGAAATGCTTATGAATAAATGTTGAAACTGTGCATTTATAAGGAGCAGTTCAGAGGAAGCTGGCTCACCTTCATCCTATGGGACTCAACGGCTTTAAACGTTTCTAACATTTACTGCATTGTCCGAAGAGTAAAAAACAACAACACAACAACATATGGGGGTGGGAATTAATTGTCTAACAAACCACATCCTTCTGAGAATCCAAGTAACTATGCTGCAAAAGAGGTACCCATGTGTTGCATAACGCATAGGTTTCCATGCGCCAGTATGTGCAGTATTCAATGATTTTCATCAGTGTTGCATGCCAGTAACTTCACCAAGGGCTGGTTCACATATCACTTGATCTTTCCTCATTTGTTTGCTTAGTACTTAGCAACTCTCACAGCCCGGGGGTTCTATGCTAGGATGGGTGTGTTTAGTGGTTTAAGCATGCCTAACTCTGCATAAGATGAGGCTGTCCCGTTCAATATGCAATCTGTCTCTGTTGTAAAGTACTATTGTTTGGGTTGGCATCAAGTTATGTGAAATTTCTGTCAGTGGCGAGTATGCACATATATCATCACAGCCAATAAGTAATGGTCATATGTGTTTGACGTAGCCCCTTAATTCAACTCACGGTGCAAACATACCCTCGGACAGCATCCTTCAATCTCGGGTCCCTAGATGCTGTTGTATTACAAAACTCACATCACTTTTGGCCGTTCGCCAGCAGCATCTGGGGACCCAAGTCTGAAGACACTGCCCTAGAATGATGCCCAGGAGTCCCAAGGGCATGATGAGGAACAATAGCATGGGAACAACCAGTAATAACATGGGAACAACCAGTACTGCACCATATCCTAAACCTGCTGAGACATGTTACAGTATGACATGGGAGAAGAAAAGGCATCCTGTGCCCAAGATCTGTATCTGTATCTGTACCAAGATCTACGCTTGAACTGTTGCAACATGCTTGGCAGGCAGAGAATCTGGTGCCATACTTCCCAACTTGTGCAAGGCAACCATTGTGCATGGGTCAAGACGACAGCAGCTTTCGTTGTTCTGATCCAGCAAATAGGCTGGGCAGCCTGGCCCTAAGCAGCTGCATTATCTGGAGTGGCAGAGATGGAACAAAAGCAAACAGATTCTGCCTTCCACTGTTCTGTGCAATGCCAATACCCTGGTGCCACTTCTGTGCCATCCCAGCACAGAGGCAACGCAACATGGAGCTAGGTTCAAGCTCTCTATTTAGCACGCTTCAAATGGCAGCTGCAAACTCCTCATCGTACATAGTGGGTTACGGGCGTCAAACGTTACCAACAAAGAAGAATTGGGTCTTTTTCTTTTCTTTTCTTTTAGCTGAAGGTTTACAATTGTCAAAATGAAATGGTAATGAGAATGAACTATATGATATGTCTGTGCTGCTATTCAACCATGATTCTTTGAACAAAGTTTTATTTTGTGGCATCACCCAGTTCCGAGACTTTTCAAAGCTGCTTTAGGTGTAATTTGAAGTAGTCACGTTACAAGGCATTTAGGTAGATGCTGACAATTGATGTTTTATTGTGTCTCTGTCCCCTGGGCTTCACAGTATCGTAATAGGTGTATGCCAGAGAAGGCCAGGTGTGCTGTTGATAGTCTATATTTTATGCAGGTGATCTTCGGTGTTCCCTCCTCCCATCTTTGCTGCAGAATTGTACAGTGTTGTGGCTGCACTAGCTATAAGGACAGTTGATACTGCTAATAGTCATGTTAAACATATTTAGAAAGGTTGAATGTATATAAAAGCTTGAAACTGCCCCTTTCCCTGAGCTTTTTCACCGTGACTGGCAGCCTTTCCTGGTTTCACCTGGTACATTGTTTTGGTTTAGGGGTGGGGAAGCCCTGCAAAACATCGAATCAGTAGCACTTTGTCCTTGCACAAGGAACCAAGACTCAAGTGGCTCTCCCTAGGCCATGCCATAATTCCACAGCAGAACTGACACAGGAGTCTCTTGCTTGTGTGCTCATTTATACTTATGCACTCAACCAAGTTGGCTCCCATTAACCTTGTGCATAATAACTCAGTTCTGAGGGGCCAGTTCTAAAAAAAATGACAGTGCTGAGAAAATAACTGCACGTAGAAGGAATCATAGAATTGCAGAGTTGGAAGGGACCCTGAGGATCATCTAGTCCAGCGCCCTGCAGTGCAGGAATATGCAGCTGTCCCATACTGGGATCGAACCTGCAACCTTGGTGTTATCAGCGCCATGCTCTAACCGTGCCACAGGTCCTACCATGTGAAACTGCTGGAGGTAGTTAACAGTGAAGCTTTGGCGGTCTCTGTGAATGGGAAGAAGTAAGGAAATGCCTCCAGAATGGCCCTCCTTGGCCAAATACATTGTGTGCAGGCTTCCTAGGAAGCACTGAAGATTCCCTCAAGAAAGAAAGAGCCCTGGAAGATGGACCAAACTATCCTTCCCAAATACACACACACAACACACACACACACACACAGTGGAATCTTCAGTGCCTGCGCACACAAACCAATTTGGTTAGGTTTCGCATGCTCATATTCCAGAGCTGTGCTGCTCCAGTGTTAACACTTGAGCTGCAAGCAAATACACAGGCACCCCTCTTCCCTTCTGCATCAGTTTCAGGTGTAATGGAGCCAGCATCTAAAGATGGCAGAGTGGCTCTCAACAACAAATGGGTTGGAGTGCATTGGGTTTCAGCTTTGTTTCTGGAGGTTTTTGTTTTACCCCATATAGGCTACTAAGGACCAAACTATAAATGATCTTAACTGTTTGAATGTATTTGACATACGTATTTTTCACTGATACTGGGATGGGGAGGGAAGTGAACCATTCCCTGTCCCTCCATGGTTCGGATGAAAATAGCCAACCCACACCTAGGGATGAGAGAGAAACTCCCATTTGCTTTTTCCATTTTAATTTGCACTTCCCCAAACAATATGCGAACTGCAACGCAAGCTATCCTTCAGAATTCACACGTCTCCAACCAAAATGTATTATGTATGGGGAATGTACGGGCTTGCAAAGCAAACAACCATGTACATTAGGAGAAGCATGCCCTAAAATGCTGGTGAATATTTGTGAGGACTTCTAAAAGTATCTCAGATGCATCAGTGTGACAAAATGAACTGAAGGTTGGAAAAAGGAGAAACGGAAATCGGAGCTGACAGCCTTGTCCCATCCCTATCGACAGCTGCTTCCCTAAGAGGAAAGCTTCCATTAAGTGCCAATGGAAGCTTCCCTGCCAAGTCTGCTAGCAGATTTTGGGGGGTGATTTCCACTGGGAACACGGCAAGTGGGAAGAGTTAACCATCACCCCTTCCCTGAGGACCACTGTCCTTCTGATCACGAGGCCAGGGCCGTAATGCAGAAGAAGAAACAGCTTGACCCTGGACCTCCTGTGTGGATCAGAAGTGTTTGCTGATTTGGCACTGGGGATTCATTTCTGCAGACATCAAATGGCTATGCAACTGTGGTTTATGTAAGCCCTTTTTCAATAGCAGTTATGGAGGCAAACCCGGTTCCATTTGACCCCAGAGCATTGTGGTATGACGAGCCACCAACTACTTTCCAGTGCTAAACAACAACAGCAAAATGGAAGCGGCGTACATGGCTTGGGTTCTAGCGGGAGAGTTAGACAGACCTTCCATGTTCAGAGGCAGTGGGTGATGCTGGAGGGCTTCATTCCACAAAGAGAACCACCAGGGTTTGCATCAATAGGAAGGCTGAAACCTTTTTGAAAGCAGTAACCTTTTCTTTTCTAACTGGATTGAGAGAAAACAAAAGATGAGTTAATTTAATTAGCAGGTTTTTTTTAAAAAAAAACTGCTTACAGTTAATGCAGCTTCATCCATACACAACATCCAGTCACGCTGGAACACTCTCTTAATCCTGCAGAGGTGTCTGCTTTTCCCTCAGTTAAACCATCAAGGAAGGTCCACGCATAAGGGCTGCTGCAACAGTGATGCACAGATGTTCCAAGCAGGGCTCAACAGAGGCCTGCTACCACCTCCCTCCCTCCCCATCTATCCACACACATGCAGGCAGCAATCATGGGACATTATGTATGTTTCTCTCATCTCCCCACCCAGCCATCCCTCTATGCACCTTGCAGACATTTACTTGCAAGCACAAGTAACTTGCACTGAGCAGAGAGGAAGGCTTGATGACGAAATTGGAGCCTCTCACACAATTGCTACTTCCCAGTGCACTGCAAGCAGGCTAGCTGTGCAGATTGGCCACGCAAGTGGACCGTGCTCCTATTTTTCTTCTGTTTGGATTTTAATTAGCACCAGCATTGCTGTAATACACAGATCTAGTTTATTTCCATGTTTTGGATGTTGTATGTAATGTTTTTTTTTTAAAAAAAATGTTTGCCTGTATATTACCATTTATTAAAATAATCACATCGTTTTATTTTAAAGTCGACATAAATCATGCTGCCATTAAACGTTCCATGTCTTCAGCTAATTTTGTGTGAGAGAGAAATAAAATAAAGCACACTGTGAGATGTCGGCTTTTGGTTTGATTCCGAGTACTGGAAAATTAACGTGCTGTTTCCATAGACCGTGGCCTAATAATTAAAGCGAGGCCAAAACATCCATTTCCACTTGGCAATATCATCAGACATGTTTTTTGAACCTGTGGAAAATATATTGCATCACTAATATTGCACTCTGCTTTGGTCAGTTTTCTTCCTTACTTATACAGTGATACCTCGGGTTACAGACGCTTCAGGTTACAGACACTTCAGGTTACAGACTCTGCTAACCCAGAAATAGTACCTCGGGTTAAGAACTTTCCTTCAGGATGAGAACAGAAATCGCGCGGCGGCAGCGGGAGGCTCCATTAGCTAAAGTGGTACCTCAGGTTAAGAACAGTTTCAGGTTAAGAACAGACCTCCAGAACGAATTAAGTTCTTAACCCGAGGTATCACTGTACGGGGCAAGCTGCTGGCATCTGTCTGTCTCAAGATACAATGGAGTGCCACTCTGGGGGTGAAATCAAACCACTGCGATAACAGCACCAAAGTGACCTCCCTAGGGTGCAAGCCTGGGCAGTGTGTATAGAGGTCCTGGGCTGCCAGACAAAAAGACCCCCCTCTTGGCCTCCTCCTCCTCCTAGATGGGCTACCTTCCCAGGTTGAGGAGCCCCATCTGCCCCTTGCTTCCCTTCTACAGCACATGCAGAAACTGCCTTCTTGGCCATTGGACCCACTACTGGTCTCAATCGCTCAACCCCCCAGAGCCTGTCTTCACATGCAGGGAAAGTCCCTAACTCACTGAGGGTTTGAGATCCATAAGCTACCCTCACCTGGTTTAGCCGGCCAGTCAAAGCTGGGGTGTGGCCACTGTCATATACTGACAACTACTAGGAGCCACAGGTGAGAGCTGAGTGCAGGATGGGGACCAAAGGTGGACAAACTACCCCAATAGGAGAATGACATGCCCCTCCCCCCATACCAGATGTGCCACCGCTCACTTGATTGTGGGCAGCAGGGCTTTGCAGAGGACTCTTGGGCAGGGATGGAAGAGAGATTTGATTTTTGTTTGTTTGTTTGCCTTTTAATCAGAAACTACCTATTCACACTTCTCAAACCAATATGCAACCCGAAACACAGCTTTCCCTTTGAAATCTGCACATCTCCAATCAAATATGATGTGCAAAAGTGTGTATATTAGGTGTAAGTGTGCATAAAAGAGCACATGTTAAATGAAAATAACATGTACTGGGGGAAATTGCTTGCAAAAGTACTGTACATTAGTTAAAGCTACATATGAAAAAAATGTGTTTATTAGGATAAATTTGCACTTCAAATGCTGATGAATTTTCAATGAGGAGTTCACCAGAATCAAGTAGCTGGAAAAAAACGTGGAGAACTGAATTTAAGCCTGGAAAAATGGGAAACTTTGAGAACCAAAATGGACAGATTTGTCCATCAGTACTCTTGTGGAAGGGACGCGGGTGGTGCTGTGGGTAAGAGCCTCAGTGCTTAGGGCTTGCCGATCGAAAGGTTGGCGGTTCGAATCCCCGCGGCGGGATGCGCTCCCGTTGCTCGGTCCCAGCGCCTGCCAACCTAGCAGTTTGAAAGCACCACCAGGTGCAAGTAGATAAATAGGGACAGCTTACTGGCGGGAAGGTAAACGGCGTTTCCGTGTGTGGCTCTGGCTCGCCAGATGCAGCGATGTCACGCTGGCCACGTGACCCGGAAGTGTCTGCAGACAGCGCTGGCCCCTGGCCTCTTGAGTGAGATGGGCGCACAACCCTAGAGTCTGTCAAGACTGGCCCGTACGGGCAGGGGTACCTTTACCTTTTACTTTACTCTTGTGGAAGCTTGGAAAAACAGCAAGAGGCACAAGCCTAATTTGATCCACTCCCCTCCATCCCTGAGTGCCTTAGCTGAAGTTGAGTATCAGTTGGAGAAAGCTGGGAAAAGACTGAGAAAGAATGATTCACATATATATGACTCAAAGCACTAAGCAGCCCAAAACACTTCTTTTTATGATTACAGACCTTGCGCAAATCTCATGTGAGGAGCATACAGGCCACCCATTGAAACATCACCACATGGATGACAAATGCCCCCTCCAAAAAAACCCCCAAAATGTTCTCAAGAGATTCCATACCAGGAGTGACTGCAAATGTACAACTGGTTAGGCTTACTTATCAGATTTTGCATGGTAAGAGAAAATCCAGATTAAACAAAGTACAGGTGGGCATTTTGATGATCTTGTGTGGACACACTGAAAGAGTTCTGGACATAAGCAGCACAAAGTCCACAACAAGCTGCTGTGTGAAAGCACCCACTGCCTGCTGGCCAGCAACATCCCTAAATATAACTGCAGCAGCTACCCATGCGACACAATCGGGCTGAGCAAAAAAAATAGCATGTTAGGACATTACAAGCGTAGGAGGAGGAGAGTTTTCTATGGGAGTTACAGTGGCGGATAACCATCTCCTTTGCTAGAATATCCAGGATACTGTAAATCCAAGATCTCCTTTTAAGGCTAATTAACAGAGTTTTTTTCATGACCCCCAGAGGTCACTAGGAATGTACAGCCAAGACATGAAGAAGACTCACTATGTGGTGGCAAAGTTCCACACAATAAATGTTGCTAGACACCAGTGAGGGCTGGCTGCAGTTTTGAGGGACACCCTTTGTGGGTCTTTGCCCAATGTCAATGGGACACCCCCCTACACAAAAGCTTGCCTGGTAAGCTACAAGCCACCATCTTAAGTTCCCACATTATCCTGGAGCACTCATAGTGTCCCTCTGAGACATATGTTCCAGCATGGATGCAGAGGAGGTATCCGCACAGGTGGGACCTGACGCAAGGGCCAATGTCAGGGACTATTTGTTCATTTATAAAAGTATTTATATACCTGCCCTCTCACAAAATATCAGGCTGGTATAAAATACCAGGCTAGTGTAATATATATATATATATATATATATTTGCTTTCGTAGATTTTCACGGGTACAGGAATGCAGGTTTTGGTGTCCTCCACACCAACCGCTACTTACATGCACAATCACACCACCACCCTGCACAAATAAACTCCGTAGCCAAGACTCTCATCTCCAGAACCAAACGCCTGGCTGACAAAGACCACTTGACAACTGAGTTACAGAATCTCTCCAATGTGTTAATCGCCAATGGATACCAGCAAAACAGGGTTACGAAGCTAATGCAAAAAGAAACACCCCCCAAAAACCAAGACACAGAAGAAAACAATGGCATGGCCCTCCTTCCTTATATCAAGGGCACTACAGATAAAATTAGCAAAATCCTCCATAAACACAATATCAAAACAGCCTTTTGCACCAACCAAAAAATAGCCAATATCCTCAGAAACCCCAAGGATAAAATCCAGTTGGAAAACCAAGGGGTCTATGAAATACCCTGCAAAGTCTGCCCAGCCACGTACATTGGACAAACAAACAGACGAATAAATGCACGTATCGCAGAACACAAGAATGCCGTCAAAAAAGAAGAAAAAACTTCCTCTCTTTTCCAACACATGAAAGAAACAGGACACGAAATTAATTTTGCAGATTCCAAATTGCTCTCTAACATGGAACATCACCACAAGAGAATAATCATGGAAGCCATCGAGATAGAGAAACACCCTCACAACATGAACAAGCGTGACGACACATCCCGCCTGCCAGACATCTGGAAATTAGCCCTCCCCACAAAAACCGACACCAGATCCAGAGGCACACAGAACGCCATCACCAATCAACCACACCAGACCCAAACCCAGACCCTCTCCACAGATAAATTACAGACACCATCCAGTAGCCAAACCATGGTGGCACCTCCGGATGCTGCACCCCCCTGCAATCCCTACACAGATATGGCTGGCACAGGACACAAAACCACAGCTCGCCCCTATACACGAAGCCAAGCCAGAGCACAACTAAAAACTCTTCACAAAGTTCAAGAGGTCAAGACACGAAGGCTTTAGCAACTAATCCACACCTAATGACCCACCTAAGTGGTACTCAGGATATCACTCAAGAAATCACTCAAGATATCCCTCAAGTAATTAAGGAACAAAAGAAGAAAAGGCACACTAGCCTGGGAACTTCCTCTCTGCCCAGAACATTGGAGGCTATACACCACACCCCCTCAACAGTATTTATAGGAACTCAAACACTGAGATCCTGCTCTGTTCCAGTAACAAGAAGCCGAAAGCACCAGCCTGAAGATGACGAGTGAGACCTCGTCGAAACGTCGCCTAGACACCCCAACTTTTACACGGGAAGACACCCGAGGACACCAAAACCTGCATTCCTGTACCCGTGAAAATCTACGAAAGCATATATATATATATATATATATATATATATATATATATATATATATACACACACCCAGTAAAAGCTTATACATGGGGAAGCAATTGTTTTCTGGAATTCCCAGAATTATTTTAACCTTTGGTCATCAGGATCTGCCCTGAATGGCACAGAAAAGTGGTTTTCAAACGCTGAGGGAGCCTTTCCCATGTCAACTTGGCTGTCGGAGGGAGCTCTGCATGGCCACCTCGAAAACCTTGCCATGTTGTAAAAAGTTCTTGGGCACAGATTGGGGGCTGGCAATCCAGGACAGGACGTTCTCTGTGGCAGCCCTTAAGCTCTCTCCACAGAGGCCCATCTGCCACCTTCATTGTTCTATACAGTGGTACCTTGGGTTACAAACACTTCAGGTTACAAACACTTCAGGTTACAGACTCCACTAACCTGGAAGTGGTACCTCGGGTTAAGAACTTTACCTCAGGATGAGAACAGGAATTGTGTGGCGACAGCAGGAGGCCCCATTAGCTAAAGTGGTACCTCAGGTTAAGAACTGTTTCAGGTTAAGAACAGACCTCCAGAACGAATTAAGTACATAACCAGAGGTACCACTGTACTATAGCTTTCATTATATGTCAAAGACACACCTCTTTTCCCTAGCCATGGACACCTGAGGGAGAGAGAGAGATTTATGGCCCACCCTCTTCTTCTGAT